ATTTAATCAGCTTCACTGTTCTTTTTTTAATGTCTTACAGCGATTATTAAACATTCGAATTGGGACGCTTGTCATCGGAAATCGGAGCCCTCTCGTACATTTATGTGTCTAAAGTTTAAACATCTCAAGAGAGGCACGCATGTTTAACAAAGTTTCTGTATAAAATGAAGACCTCACACTAAAGAATACGTATGTAGTAAAACATAAACTTTCTTTGTGTGACAGGTTAACAGCTCGGTGTATCGTAAGTTATGTGTGGATCTGCTGTCGTCTTAACCACTGGAATCCCACGAGGTTTAAACTAATGGCCAAAACACACGCTTCAATTTTACAAGCATGAAAAAATTTCGCAAAAACGAAAATATCCGCTCTTCAATACACTCAAATTTATCATTGTTGAGATTGATTCAAATTTGAAAAAGAAAAGAAAAAAAGGCGGGGGGTAAGTTACAGTTTGTGTCCTTTTAGTGACCTTTTTCTTTTACTTTAACACTGCATAGTAAAACGATATATTTACTCTACAGATGTTTATATTCTTATGTTTCCACGATCGACTTAGTTTGAATACCTCACATAGTTTCTTCATTAAATAGCTCCATTTTATTTTTTACCTACGAAGTCCGTAGTTCGGAAACTCGACGCTAGATTGTATGAATAACAGCTGCTATTGATCTGCAGACTGTATAGAACAAGGTAAAGGCACCGTTACTAATACTACGCAGTGGACATATTACAAAGAATACGAGTTTGACAATATATTAGTGAACTACGGATGAGAAAAAAAAACAGAGCAACAAACAATAGGACAGAAGAAAAAAAACAACAACAAAATTTCATAGACTTGGTCGGAGAAATTGTTCTTCTAAAAATAGGTTGAAATGATGTATCATTCACACATGCCAGAGAATGCCTCGTGTACAACCTGCAAGAGGCTTATAGCATACAGGTGTAAAGGGGTTTCTGCTTTAGAAGCACACTTAAAAACTAAGTGTATAATAAGAGTATTCCAACCCACCGTTTGTTTGTTTGTTTGCTTGAATTTCACGCAAAGCTACACGAGGGCTATCTGCGCTAGCCGTCCCTAATTTAGCAGTGTAAGACTAGAGGGAAGGCAGCTAGTCATCACCGCCAACTCTTGGGCTACTCTTTTACCAACGAATAGTGGGATTGACCGTCACATTATAACGCCCCCACGGCTGAAAGGGCGAGCATGTTTGGTGTGACGGGGATTCGAACCCGCGACCCGCAGATTGCGAGTCGAGCGCCCTAACCACCTGGCCATGCCGGGCCACAACCCACTGTGTTCTCCTAATCCATCGCTGACGACATCAATGATATTTGCACTTAAAAAGAAGACATGATATTCTATATACAATTTATAATTTCTTGACGAACAGGTTATCTTTCTTAAAGCTTGTTTGAAGTGTTGTTGTTTTTTTCATTATTAACAGACTTCAGTGCTTATGAGAAATGTTAAGAATCGATGTAAATAGAAATAATATTCTGTCTTCTAAAACCTTTACATGATAGGTTTTTTACATAAAACCTTTACAATAAACATGTTAAACTGAGATATATCATATTTATGAACAAATGCATATAAGCATATTGTCAAATTCTTTGCACAGTCATAAATGTAAACACGTTTTCTTTACAATACTAAAATTACAAAGGAATGTCGAAAAAAATTAAAAATTTCAAAGATACCTACGAAACTGTGTTTGATGTATTAAGAATCACTAATGGAAACCGACAATATGAGTTACCGCGACACTCTTAAGGCGCTTTAGTTAATTTTTTGTGAATACAAAATCACTCAAACGAATTCCAAATTTTTGGTAGATTTCAATGACTTACTACCCTAGTTATCAAATCAAAGCTTCATTTATCAGCAGCATAGTAACGCATACAACAAGGATAAAAAAGATTTGTGGGATAAAAAGAGTAAAAGAAGAAGTTGAAAAGAAAAAAAGAGTTGAAGAGTAAAAAATGAAGGTTTCGAAAGAGCGCAAAATATTTAGAGCAAAAGCAATGAAACGTTAAAAAAAACGAACACCCCAAGATTTCAAGAAAGTGTCCCTTGCAAATAATATATTATTTGCCATTATGTCTATCTAAATCTATAAAAATGGAGGTATCACCTTTGTTACTCTAGTAATCAGAGCCCTTAAAGCTATGTATCTGTATGAACTGTTTGTCAGTGGCACAAGAAGTCTTTAAAGATGGAGGTATCATCTTTGTAAATCTATTAATCAGAGCCCTTATAGCTATCTATCTGTATGAACTGTTTGTCTGTGGTATAGAAAATCTACAAAGATGGAGGTATCATCTGCGTTACGCTAGTAATCAGAACACGTGTCAAGAATCCTAAGAAGCTCCATATACGCAACAACTAGACCCTTCTCCTTTTCTGACAAGAAGAATAAAATATACTTTAACACGATGGCCTCGCTAAACCCAATTGAAAAGAAGTCACATAAAAGTTTAACGTCAGAGAAAATGAACAGTGATAATTTGGCCTAGATACCCTTAACAAGAAGTGACCCAACAACAGACAAAAACGTGGTAGTTGCACAGTAGCTCTGTCTAGATTGGTTATCTTATACCCAATGTCCTACATTTCCAGAGTTGGCTACTGCTCGTGAATAACTTATCTAATAGCGTGTCTGCGTGAAACCCGTGTTACTGTTATTAAAATTTTAAGCCTTGTTATTTATGTAACCTAATACTCCTTTGACAAACAGCATTAAAACCATTCTACCTGCGATATCTTTATGAATTCGGAATTCTAAAAGAACAGAACTTCTTAACGCTCATTATTTTAGTCAGAAAAGAATTAGGGAACGTTTGTTTGATTGTTTGTCTCGGACTTTTCGTGCAGAGTAACACAAAGTGAAGGCATCTAGTCAACTGCACCCACCGTCTAACTCTTGAACTACTACTAACTAACCAAATAGTGGAATTTGACCGTCACTGTACAGGCTCATCCACTGCCCCAAAATACAAAGACCGTTAATGCGGCAGCGGGCACAAAAGGGGAGAGAGCTAAATATGTACAGCGATAGACAGATGCAAAGAAAGAGAGAGAAACAGAGCGAGATGAATAGAGACAAATAGATAGAAAGAGAGACTCTCCAAACCTTTAAAAGTGTTTAGTACATAGCAAAAACAAAATTTTACTCTGATCTATATACATATAATTTTTATGTGTATGTGGTAAACAAATCACACAAAACAAGAGTTCTTTCGACCCCAAAATGAAAACTTTCTTCTGCTTTTCGCATTAACTTCAGGTTTCGTAGGATTCCAGAATTACTGAGTCTTTTTCCCTAACGGATGACCATTAAATGTCAAACACAGACATTGTACCATAAGAATTACAAATAGAACCCAACTTTGGGTGCGTTTGAAGGCTATTAATGATAGAGAAAAATCTCTATGTGCAATAATTGTTTATTTATGTTAATAAAGTACATTGTATAAGTACAATTAATATTTCATAAGTACAGATAGAACCCAACTTTGGGTGCGTTTGAAGGCTATTAATGATAGAGAAAAATCTCTATGTGCAATAATTGTTTATTTATGTTAATAAAGTACATAGTATAAGTACAATTAAAAATATTTCTAAACCTGGTTAATTATTCTTATCCAAAGTAGATCCAGTGTATACTTTCAAACCTGATTTAAAAAATACCGAATTTAATTTTGGAGATTTAAAAGATTTAAAATTACACGTATGCAGGAATAAATAACGTAATAACGATTTTTTTTTATTCAAGCATGTTCAAGTAGCTTATTAGCCCCAATGTTGAATGAGCTTTACAGACTATGTTGTTGGACATACTTATAAGACAAATAAATGATCTATAATAAAAGAAAATAAAGTAGCTAAAGAAAATATTACAATGACATGGCTCTTCTCTCAGTTTTCTTTTGTTGGTCCCCTCAACATTTTTTTCCAAACAAACAGACGTTTCATTGACTTGGTGTAAAAAGCTTTAAAAATAGACAAACTACTAGTATATAATAAATACACGTGAGAGTACTTACCCTCGGTCTCAGAAACAGGTAGTTAGGTCGTACAATTCGTTGATTTGCTTTCATTGGTGGCCTATTGGCTTTATAACCAATGGCTCTGATGTCTTGTGGACCGTATGCGGTTCCCACCTTATTTACAGAGTATGACACGCGTGTGCGACTGATCTTCATTGCCTGTGTGTAAACCATAGGCTTGTCTACGTCCATGTTGAGGACTAACGTCGATCTACCATTTCTAGGTTGTAAAGTATGGTAGAAATAGGGAGCTGGTGATGACTTCTTTAAGTCGTAAACTCTCCCATATCTCTAAGGGCGTTCCTTTCTGTCCTGAATTGCTTTAAAGGGAAAGTCTTAGAAGACGAGTAGGCGGGAATGTACCTAATCAGATTTACTTTGAGCTGGGCTACAAACTATCAGTGAACCAGTCCACAGAATTATCTGAAGACAGGACTGGACATTCTACCACAACAGATTTGACACGTGCTTTATTCGTGAATTGACTGTGTAAACGATTTAAGTGGTTTGTTTTTCAATTCTTTTAAAAACAAGAAAAGTTACTTTTAACACTTGAAAAAAACCACACAAAAACAATCTCATCATTCTTTAGTACTTAAGTGAAAATAACATACTAACCAAAAATACTATCTTATTAGCTAATTATTAAGTTAAGGAATCAGTGAAAAGTGTTACTTACTAAATACGTGAATCAGGGACAGTGTAATTATTAAATTAATATAAAAAAATTTTTACTTTCTCAAAAATTCAATGAGCAGATGTCTTGCTAACTCAAGATGTACGAAGAAGTCCAGTTACTCAATAACATGGATCAGGACCGCTATTTAAATAGAAGAGTCCACACGCGCAAGTAAAACAGTTTATTGGCTTATTAGAAGAATTATGACACATAGAGAAGAATTGAGCGATTCCATGTTTAGAAATAAAAAAAATTGATAACATACCATGCTGGAAGATAGAGAGGGCGCTGATTGGCCCATAGACGAACTGCGCATCCGCACCAAGTTGGATGTTTCCGAGGTACCTGTTGAAATATTAAACTCATGAATAAGTACTGAAATGAAATAATTAACTATGGAAAATAAGCAATGAATAATGATAATACTTCTTTTATAAACAATCAAAATATATACATTTCACAGACAGATAATAATACAAAAATCGTGTACAATATAACACTGCATATATTACTCATTTACTTTGTCTTTACGCAAAATTATTATTTCCAGATCTCTAGCTGTAAATATTTGTTATTATGGTCGCGTCATATTTCTGCATAAAACTGAGGTGGAAATACACTAGCGACATCTGTGGATAAAAATATATACCAAAGATCAACTTTCTAAAACAAAGGTGATTATCACAAATATACAAATACAAATGTGTATATCAACGCACAAATTCTTTAAGACTGATTTAGCCAGTAAAACCATAGTAAAATACTTTTACATTTGGATAATTCACCTGGCTTTATATTTTGATCATATACAAAATTAATCGAATAACACATTTACTATATACTTCTGCATTTTTTACACTAATTAAATAACTTGTAACAAGCACACTTCAGCTGCGTAATATGATTTATAATACTTATTTTGACCATTGAAAGAAAATATTACACTGTTTTTGCGCCTTTTAAAAGATAATATTAATAAAACTGGAAAGTGAATCCTTAGCTGGTCTGTAATTATTTCTCAGACCATGTTAACCAACAGACGAATCCAGAATGTCACACACACACACACAAAATTAAAAAAAAAATTAAAGAATTGGTGTCATATTGATAAATTCCAAAACTAATTTTAGATGGGTGTAACTCAATAACATGAAGCAGAACCACTACATGGAGGTACAAAATAATTAATGTATCTAAAAGCCTGCTAAAAAAAAAGGTAAATTTCTTAAGAACGTTTGGGAATGTCGAGATTTCAATATGGCTGTAATAGGACTTTGCTGTTTGTGAATTGATTTAGAAATGAGGTGAATAAAATTACACGCGGCACCACACATTAAAAACAATCTACATGCATCAGTGGATGTAGTATAACAGGTCGTGAACACGACATTTTGCAGTATTTTGGTTTAACACTAATTCAGTTTTATGCTAAAGAAGCCGTCTTAGAAGACATTGTCTTAAAAAAAACACTATTTTATGAAAAATAATGAATTATATAAAATATGAAAACAGTCCGATCCACAGGCCTTTCTGTAATAAAGTTTGTTTAGAACTTCAGACCTTTTTGAAACATTTTCCACCTTTATCGTTAATAGAGCATTAGGATCTTTTAAAAGCCATAATTTCTTTAAATATATCATAAAACATTCTTTTAAGAACCTTAAAATTAGCTTTATCGATTTTATGAATATTCTGTCACTACGGAAATAAAGGGAGAAATGACAAAAAAAACAACAAAAAAAACTCTAACATTTGTGTGAAAAAAAGCAATAAACTATTTAATTTCAAAGAGAGAGCAAAATAACTGCTCGTATTTAGACAGAAAGCTTAATATATTGCAACAGCCACTATTTCTCACAAATAGGCCTAACACTAGATTTTCGACATGTATAAAAGGGGCCGTTTTATATCCCTCGCAGCGTAGGCGCGCAGCCAATGTAAGGATGTTTGGACTTCCATTACGTAAACATGCGCCCCTTTTCACACAGTACCGCTGATTGATAAAGAACATCATGTAAGCCTTCTCCATATCATTAGTTTTAAAAGAAATGAAAAACGTTTGTTATAGGTTTCTGAAACCCTTGGTGGCGTTCATTCAGTGATCACTTTAAATTCTCACATTTTTGTCATATTTTTAACGATCTTCATTAAACTGGTAAAACCACCAGGAATATTTTCTAAAATCAAGTTTTAATAATACTTTCAATAACGTCCAAACGGCTGTGATGTTCCCCCAGAAAGGAATTAATCTATTTTTTGTTTTTCATAGAAAGTTAATTCACTCTTATCTGTAACCCCTCTAGTTTTACTTCTTTTAGGAAGTCGACGCAGAGATTTATTTAAAACGATCTTTAACAGTATGTAATAAATATCGACATAAACTACCATCTACACTTCAATTTATGGCTACGGAAGGATGCGACATTTCGTATTACTAGATACGAGTCTCTAAGAAGAACGAGAAGGAATAAGGTACGAAGAGAAAACTATTTTGAATGTTAAAACATATGCGCTTGCAGACGTTTCTGGCATGTTCCACACTATACGTTTCTTTCGACAAAGACGTAACATTTTACGGAAAGTAGGTGCTCATTTTGGTTGTGTTGAAGAGGCAAGAAAATACTGAGTGAACAACTCAAAATCCCGAATTTGTTGAAGTTAACCAAACTATACTTAACAATAGCAATTCCTGTCGTGTTACAATAATTATTTACTTTTTCGGATCCAGTTATGTAGATGGTATAATCTTTTTTTTTTTTTACTATCGGTTACATTTCAACTGGAAGGGGGTGGGGCACGAATCGCACAAGATATGCAAAACTATGATATTAAAACTTCTTTATGAGCGTGTTCTGGCATTAGATGTAGACTGTTAATACATGCAATAAAAATTACGTTACACATGAACAAGCCAATCAAAAAGAAAATAAAAATATATTATTTTTTTATGAAACTGAAAACCAGGCGTAAAGTGATCGTAGTTACTTCTCCCACTATAACTGAATTTTATGCGAACTGGTAAAATTTCATAGTAACACACACACAGATAGATAAACAGATATTACATGAAAGAACAAATACTTTTTTTCACAGAAAAATAAATAAATGGCAGCAGGAAAATAACATAACACCAGAGTACAAGTGACATGATTGGACAATATAAAATATATCCTGGTTTTGAAGTGTAACCATTAATGGAAAATTAACCTGTAAAATATAGTGTTTGCCTCAAGCTGTCAAAAAATTAAATTAAATCGTACATCAAATTGTCAAAACTAAAACACAAAGTCCTCATATCAATTTCCTTTTCAACATGAAAATTACAGATTTAATTTGTTTTAAGCAAAGAAAATACTATCATACAACATGATGTTAAGTTTTAATATATTTTACTGAAGTAAGTTACCTATTGTCATTGCTTATATTTATATGTCACTATTTATTATGAAAATAATAATTACTCATAAACTGGTGATGATTAACGTAAAAACAAGAACACTAGTTTTTAACTGAGGATGAAGTAAGTAAAATAAAATATATATTGTCTTTTCAGTAGTATAGCGTTGCGATGAGGAAAAGGCTGACAATGAAACTAGTGAAACGTGTTACACGTCATTCTACCGAAGTTCATTTTCTCAGCACCATTTGGCACCCTGGTGACAGAAGTGTCTGTACCCTTAAAATACGTCTTTAACTTTATCACTTTTCACGTTGAGAAATCACTAACCAATCTTGGGAGAGGGGAGGGAGCTTGCAAGCAGTCAGCTAGAAATAAAAATACCTAGAAATAATCAAAAATCGTTAAATAGTCCGTGTTAAATCCATCGAGCTACATTGGCAACTCCCCCCTTTCCCCCAGGGGTTTCAAGTTCAATTTAATGTTTTATTCATATGTTACTGATACTATTTCGAGGTTCGCTTTTTTAGTTGAAAATGTAATTTATTAAATGGTTCCAATGATGAACATACTCAGGCAGAGTTTCAAATTAAATCCTATGAAGAATTTGTTGGTTATATCGTCGTTAATGCCTGGAGTTGAAGATAATTTTATTTCCTAAGCACGCAGACAAACTCGTGCGACAGAGAAATATTCATGTTTTTCACTTCATTCAGTTTCAGATTGATAAGAACATTTTTGTCGAAAACGAAAAATCGTAATCTTCATAAATTACTTTTAAATATATTACCCAAAATATTTTTTTTTATTATGTAGTGCGCACAAAATGGTTACGTAAAACTGTTTGGAACATTTATATAACGCCTTAATTAACAAAATAGATATCTTTAGTATATATATATATATATATTCTTAAAAAATAAAGAAAAACTTAAATCTGGTCGTATTTTTAATCGTTGCTCATTTGCAAGATTACCGCGAGATATAAGTAGTGAAATAAAATTTTGAACGGAGAAGATTCAATGTGCTTTTAAAAGATTACAAAAGGCCCAGTAATAATGGTTGGAGACGGCTTGAATGGGTAACGAAGAAAAACTTTAATATAAGTTTAACATAACAGCAAAAGTACAACGTTTCGACAAGGTTTTGTCATCATCAGGTATCAACCATTATTAGTTTCAAAGTGGGTTCCTCGTCATCGTATTCATGAAGTAGATAACAAAACTACCTTGTCTTTATTTTTTTTAAATAAAAACAAGTTTCACTCACAAGAAACATGAACTATTGGAGTGTATAATAAATAAAAGAAAATTTTATAATTAACATTCATAATATACACACTTTTACCGGTGACATCTTAAGTAGACTGAAGTATTACTGCAGTAGTTACCATTTTAAATGTGATACAGAAACTCCACAAACATCCATCTTCATCCTACGTAATGATTCATCGTGTTATTTAGAGCCTTTGTAAAATTCTCTTGTTCTTAGGTGACTTAGCGGTAAACTTGGGAGTTTATAACGCTAAAATTTGAGGTTCTATCCCTGCGGTGACCACATCCTCAAATAGCCCATTGCGCAGCCTAGTGCTTATGAACAAATAAACAGAGCTCTCTTTGTTTCGTTACCAAATATAATATTTTTACAGTTAAAAGGTTATTATGAATGTGATCTATTAAACAAGTTAAAATGAAAGATGAGCTGATTTAATAATCAAATAAGACTGACAAACTGAAAACCGTTATTAATAGACGAGATGTCCTACTGGACAAGTATTTTGAACAATTTCATAAATCGTTCCTCCGCGTAATTAGTGTTCGACTTCGATGAAATAGTAGAAATATTAAAACGGACAAGCCTATCACTACCAGACACCCACTTTTAGAGAACTTGGTATATTCAACAGAGCATGTGTTAAACGGACAAGCATATCACTACCAGACACCCACTTTTGGAGAACTTAGTATATTCAACAGAGCATGTGTTAAACGGACAAGCCTATCACTACCAGACACCCACTTTTGGAGAACTTGGTATATTCAACAGAGCATGTGTTAAACGGACAAGCCTATCACTACCAGACACCCACTTTTGGTGAACTTAGTATATTCAACAGAGCACGTATTAAACGAACAAGCCTATCACTACCAGACACCCATTTTTGGAGAACCTAGTATATTCAACAGAGCATGTGTTTAACTTTCCATGCACGAAAGAGATAAGACCAAATTCAAATACACACGCTGTCTCAGAGTTAAGTCTCCATAGTATAACTGCAGATGTCTGTTACATAAATACACATACCCATGAAAAAAAAATCATCTTGAACTTTAGTCATTGGTGCCAATTTGTCAGCCATACAGAGCACTTTTTTGGGTTATATTTAACCACTACTGAACGTTGCATGACTGTATACACAAGTGTTCGTTGGAGTGGGCAGGGAGAAAAGGGGAGGACGGGTGGGATGCAAATTTTCAGTTCTACTTTTTTTTCCCATATAATCAACCTAAAGTGTTCTCTGAATACAAAAACGTTCCGTTTTAGTAAAACAATTACTATCAAAAAAACCTAAGTGGCACTAACGACCCCTACCCCCATAAATATGTTCAATTTTAAGGTCGAAGATAAAAAAACACATCTTCACATCTAGACCAAAATAATAATTAGGGCCCAAAATACTATCGCGTACGATCTGAAATTTTAGCTTGTTGTATTTTAAAAGCTAATTTTTATCTGCTTAGCTTTATATAACCCAGGATATTACGGTATATTTTTATTAATAATTTAAAGCGTGTTATTTAAGCAATATAAGAAAAACATCAGGCTAAGTTATAGTAAATAATAGCACGGCGTCTTATAAACTTTTGTATAGTGAAATTAAAACCATGGTTCTAAAGTAATACTTAATAAACAGGAAATATATTTTCTCTAAATAAAATATTTCAAGGTTTAGCTGAAATTTTTACTGTTTTTATATTTCTAGTCTAAATTCCACTTACACCAATGGGTGTTTTTTTTATCTTGGATACAATATTGAAACACGTCAGTACAATACGTCATACCTTTTTCGATAAAACCATTTTTGTACAAAGGAACGAACGAATAATAAAATATGGAGTTTTAATTTTCATGTACGCAGTAGGTGTGGTGTATTTGGTAAGTCTGATGTTTCACAACATATACTGGTTGTTTGAAGATGATCAGTTTCCTACCTGGAGTGCCAACAGTAAGGTGTGTGCTCGGAAGAGCAGCCAAACTTTCTCGTCGTCCCTTCATGTCCTCTGATGCCTGTCTTTGGAAAGGACGAGATTTCCGCGGGAAGAGAAGCGAGACGTCAGTGGGATCCTGATGGCGCGGCGAAAGTGCTGGTGAGTGAGATCCTTGCTCCCCCTAGTGAAAAAATGATAAATTTTACACTAGTCCGTTACGCATAAAAACAAAAATATTTTAAAATCGAATTTTCGACGACAGATAGTTTCTCAGCCAACAAAGTGTGTTAACAGAATTTCAAACTATGAAACGTCAGCAGTAAGTCACTGCCCGGAAGACTTTCACACTTTGCCAGATTAGGTGCCTTGCTGTATCAAAATCACTGTCACATGTTCTGGGAGTATGTTGAACTTGGCAAGTGAAGAGCAGTTTTAAAGATGTAAACGTGAAGAGCTGCCAATTTTTTTTCTCTCTCATAAAATACTTCAGTAAAACAAAAAAAGTATTCCGTACAGATGTGTAATTCTGCAATTTCAACAGAGCTGGTAATTATTGGAAAGTTTTTTATTTAAGTTACATAAGGGCATTGCTCTGTTCCTTATCAAAACTAGTGTCGTATTAACCCTAAACTTGCGCTTCCAACATTTAAATAGAGTTTTCACGTTGTTTAATATATCATGAAAATAAACAACATTCTAGTTACAAGTGCTTTATATTGCAGCACGATGTACGTAATTAAACCGCAAACTTGAATACTGAATTATTCATATAGCAAATAATTGTTTTGTTTTAGCGCAATGCTACACAATAGTTTGCCCCCCAGTGGCACAGCGGTATGTCTGTGGACTTACAACGCTAGAAACCGGGTTTCGATACCCGTGGTGGGCAGAGCACAGATAGCCCTTGTGTAGCTTTGTGCATAATTACAAACAAACAAACAAACAAGCTACACAATAGATTATCTGAGTTCTGTCCACCGCGGGGATGTTGAACCCTGGATTTTAGCATTGTAAGTCCGTAAACTTACCGCTGACCTCACGGAAACCATAATAAATAAACTCCAAAAAATATATTTTCAGTCAATAAAAGCTGCACAGCTAGTGTTTTCTTATCCACTACTCTTGATTCTTGACTTTATCATTGATACACATAAATCCATGTTCATAAACCTATCTGTGTCATATATTAACATATCACAGAGGCTACTCTATACCATGAATACACGTAAATCCATGTTCACAAATCTGTGTCATCCGTTATGATAAATTAAGATTTGCTTTTTTTACTTTGTGTTATAAATACTGTTCTATTTAGCTTCACAATCAATTGGTAAGTACTGTTAACCTCGTACAAATTATGCTGGTAAGTTTGTTTGTTTGTTATGTTTTTTTGGCTACTATTAGACTTGTCGACGCCGTGTGTCTGGTTTACATTAGAACGGGTTAACAACCGGCTGAAGTCAAT